AAAAAAATTCCCATTCAAAACGATATTTTTTCTGTTTTTTTTGGCTACCCATCCATTATCATTATTATTTAGATGATTATTTGATTTCTTGTTTTTGAAATAACACAATAATAATAATGATAATAAAAAACAAAACAATCGAAAAAAAATCAACATTTAAATTTGAATATAAAAAATTAATTCAATTTATTGATTGTTAACACATAATGTATACACACATTGATTAAAATGATTCGAAAAAGAAAGAAAAAAAAAACATTTTATCATTATAAACCAAATGAAGATCTAAGAATAAAAAATCATTTATCACTTTTTCTTCTAACATCATCCATATATATTTTGGCACAAATAATTGTCCAGGGAAATGCAATAAGAGAGAGAGAAAGAAAAAAAGGCCACAAAATAAATGAAATACAAAATCGATTAATTCCGGAAGCATTATACATTTGCTATATGCATTTAAGAATTCATTTATACAGAAAAAAACCTATTCATTCATCCTTATTCTTATTCTTATTTATTTTGTTTTGTTTTGTCATTTTCTTTTTGATAGCCAACATCATAATAAATAATGTTGTTGAAATCAGAAAAAAATAAATGTAAATATTATTTAATATATGCAACAACGGTATATTTATTTTCTTTTCTTATTTTCCTGTTGTTGACATTATTATTATTATTATTATTACTATTATTATTATTATTATTATGATCATTTCACAATTCTTTTTAACTTTATTATGATAATAATAATCATGTTGATGATGATGATGATGATGATGATGGTTATTATGTAAGTTCCAGAATGACCAATCTTAATGATCGGTCATGATGATGATGATGATGATGATAAAAAAAAAGTGAGTGAATGAAAGCGAAATACAGTAGAATAAATTTCTTCTATGGAAAAATTCTATGGATTCTATTTTTAATGTGTGTGTGTGTTTGTGCTTTTTTTTTATTGAGAATTTTATATGCGGTCAATGCGAATAAAATGTTTTTGGTGGTGTTCATCACCATCCATATTAGCCTCTCAGCTTGATTTTTTATTTTTTCATTTTTTTCCCATTTCAATGTTGTTGTTGTTGTTGTTGAGGCCATTTCTGGACCATCATGTGTTTTGGTACCCTGCCCGTTTCATATTTTATATTTCATTTTTCTTCTGTTAGATTTAATTCAATGTAGTCCGAAAAAAAAATCATCAAAATGATTTTTGTTTTTTCTTTTTGAAAATATTTTTTTCATTTCATTTCATTTCAGTTTCTGTCATGTTTTTTTCTCTTTTTCGTTGTCATATATTTTTTATATATGGTTTTTTTACAAATGGAATTCATTTTTTTCTGCAATGTTTGTTGTTCTTTGTCGTTTTTATTTTCAAACCAAAAAATTTATTTCATTTTTTTTAAATGAAATGAAAAATTTTGTTTGATTACCCTTATTTTTGGCGTCATACTTCATTGCTTTTTCGGGTTTTTGTTATCATTGAAAATGTATCAATAATGGATATTACATATAATGAATGAATGATGATTTCTAAATGATTATATGACCATTAGATGATGATTCATTCAACTGTTTGATCTACAAAATTCTGGTTGATTGAAAATAGTGTTGGTTTTTTTTTTGTTTTTTTTTTGTATTCTATTTGCCAATTATTTTGCTTCAAGGTTTTTTTTTCGCATACCCTTCAACCAAGGAAAAAAAACATGCATTTTTTCTCTCATCATTTCAATCAATCATTCTTCATTCATTCATTCATTCATTTATTATCATTTTTAATTATAAACTCCAAATGATTTAATGATGAAAAAAAAAATGTCAATGTCAGTTTTGTTATGTTCAATCATCATCATTAGTAAATTCGAATAATTTCATTTCGAATTTATATCATTATAATACATGTGATGTGGTTTTCATTTAGAATTTCGAAATCGTAGCCAAAAGAAAATGTTTTTTTTCTGCTTTGTTTTCAACAAAACATTCGATATACTTGACATGAATTTTAAATCTAAATAGATCTATTAGGTTAGTTCAATTATCATTTAATGGTTTTTTTTTGTTGTTTGGTTGGTTGGTTGGTTGGCACACTCCAAATGCATAATAATCATGATTGAAAAATGGAAAAAAAGGAAATTTTCATTATTATTATCATTGAAAAATGATAAAAAAAATTCATAAACTTTAAGCTTTAATTCATTGTGATTTTTCGATGATGTTTTAATTATCCATTCGATCATTTTTAGTAAGATTTTTCTCGTGTTCAAACCAAAAAATTCTAATGTCAAATGTATTATACGGGTGTGGTGAATTTTGTATTTAAAAAAAAACGAGATCATATCGAAACATTGCATTATACAGCTACGGTGATTTTTTTTCTTTCTTTTTTTTCATATTCTAATTCATGATCTATTAGTTAGTTACCAATGACAACCATATATCGGGCAAAAAAAAAATTGGATTTTTTTGTTGTTGTTGAAATGAATAGCTATTCAACCAACCAACACCATTAAACACACACTCACACACACACTTATATGCCATTAAAAATCATTTTTTTTTCTCTCGAAAAAAAACCGACTTGATATACCAAATACGTTAAGAAATGAAATGAAATGAATTTTCCGGTCAAATATCATTTAGCTTTAAGCATTTTATTTCAGTGTCAACATTTTTTTTCTTACTTTACTATACTTTGCCGTGTCATTACCTCAACTAGAATGTTCGTTTTAGCTATTTTCGTTTCCTATTGATGACAAGTAAGCAACAAACAAACAAACAAATAGGTGATTCTGACATTTCTCATTTGACAAAAATAAATGAAAATATGGTATCCAAAATACAGATGAAAAAAAAACTAAGTAAAGTCAAAATGAATTTTGTAAAATTTTGTATTTTCGGATGTAATTTTTTGGAAAAAAATAACAACAACAACTGTATGAACATATTTTGCCTGACATTTTTCTTTGTAAATTGTAAATTCTCTCTTTTCCTTTTACACACTCTATGGTCATACTGATGAATTGGATGTACTTTATTATTAATTCAAAAATACTTTTATCATTTTACATTTGAAATGGTGGAAAAAGAAAAAAAAATTCTTCTTTTTCTTTCTCTTGATTAATGTTTGTAAATTGGTTTATTTTCTTTTCTTAATCTTCAATAACATTTTTTTACATTATTTGTCATCATCATCATCATCATCATCATCGTAGTTAACGGATGCGGAAAGGTTTAATAATGGAAAGGTTTTTTTAAGGATAGAATTTTATAGCCTTTAAATGAAGCGTATTCTTGTAAACGACAACAACAACAAAAAATTATGCGAGAAATAAGAATTTTTATATTAAACAAACTGTGAAAAAATACATTGATGAAATGAAGTGATTCTTGAAATGTTTTTGTTTTTGTTTTTCTTCAAATAATTTGCTTTCTATTTGACAAAATATGATGTTTGTGAACGGAATATTTGTTTGGGAAAAAAGCGGATTATTCGGATGAATGCACATCATCATCATCATGAACATGGTGATTGTGAACAAATTCTGTTGTTGTTGTTGTTTTTTTCTGGTTTAATACGCCCCGAAACACCTGTACAATTTTAACAACAACAAAAAAACTGAATAGTGAAAACTTTTTTTTGTCGTAAAGTTGTCAACCAGAAAAAAAATACCATTCTAATAACATTAAACATAGACTTTTGTACCTTTTTTCTTGAATATAAAACATATACACACAGCTTTTACAAAACGAACAGTGACGATGAATTTTGATATTTGCATATTTGGATATTAATTCTATACAGAAACAACAACAACATTATTATTGTGTAACATAATAATGATAATAAACAAAACAAAAAAAAAAGAAGAATTCTGTGGAATATCTTCAAGAATATATAAATTTGGAGTTTTAAATAATTATATTTGTAAAAGAAAGAAAAAAACATACCTAAAATATTCTTTGTATATTCTGATGGGTTCTTCATTCATATTTTATTTTATTTTTCGTTGATTTTGATTCAAAAAAAAAGAAAAGAAAAAATTCTTTGAAATAAAAGATATTTATTTCGTAATAAATTTAATGTTTATGTTTGAACGAACGAACGAACGAACGATATTTTCATTTGAAATTGAATTGAAATGATTATTATTTCTTAAGAATTTTAATAATAATAATAATAAAAATTTTTTTTAAGGAAAAGAAAAAAACATGTTGAAGAATATTCATCTGTTTTGTCTGTCTGTGTGTTTTTATTACGAAAAAAAATGATGATGATTATTATTATAATAAATAAATATTCAAATCAAGAATGATTATAGTGTTACAAGGGAACCAAACCAAAACCTTGAAAGTTGAATAAATTTCCATTATTATATTTGTATTTGTCATTATGTCTGTGTGTGTGTGTTTGTGTGTTATGGGCCAAAACAATTTGTGCATCTTTCATTCATTAATGTTCGTGATTTTATATCATGATGATGATGATGATGATCATAATATTTAGCTTGAATGAATGCACTGTGTGTGTGTGTGTTTTCCTTATTCTTTTTTTTTTGTATTCTTTGATACGCATAAATTATTATTCTAAGTAGAAAAACAAAACTATAACCATGTCAAGCACAATTTTTTATCATGATGATCATGATGATGATGATGATGAATAGAATTTTCATTGTCTAGAATAGAATTTGCACAAGCGCACGCAAACACGCTTTTTTATCATCAACCAGGAAAAAAGATTATTATGTTTTTATTATTAGGTCGAAATAGTATGGCCATATATACTTTTTTTTTTGAACACATCAATTATTTCTTAGGATATTTAATTTTCTTTTATCATTTCAAGTTAGAATAAACTTATTTATCAGATTTGATCTTCTTCTTCTTTTTTTTTGTTTATTTTGTTTTGTTTTGATAGTCACAAATTACTAATCTTGAATTCTTTTGTTGTTGTTTTTTTTTTGTTTTTTGTTTTTGTTTTGTTTTTAAAAACTTTATAGATTGTTCAGCATGGTTTTCCATATCAACCTACATCGATTGCATTCGATCCAATACAACGTTTGATTGCAATTGGATCGAAAAATGGTTCACTTCGAATGTAAGTATCAAAAACACAAAATAAGAAAGAAAATTCATTCAAAATAATAATAATAACATTCTTATTGTTACAACATCATTCATTGTTATAAGATGAAAAACTTTTTTTTTCTCATTCATTTTACCTATTCAGTCTAAATAGGAGAAAAAAAATTTCGTTAGTTAGAAATAAAACAAAGAATTCAAATGAGAGAAGAAGAAAAGAAAAATTCTGAATCTGAGAATAAGAAGATAAGACAGCAGAAAAGAAAAAGAAAAAGAAAAACTGATTATCATTAGCAAGTCATTATTTTTATTCTGTATGATCATGATGATGATGATGTTGATGTTTGCATAAATTGAATTGAATTGAAACTATCTATCTTCAAACAAAGTGCCAAAAAAAAGAGAGAAAAAATTCACACCGCGGTTTAAAATTTCAATTTTTTTTTCTTCTCCCGAAATGAAATTATATTCCATTTTTTTTTTCTTTTTTCTTTTTCTTTTTCTCGAATAAAATAATGTTCAATTTGGCCGAATTCTGTCGTGGTTGGTGTTAATATCGTTTCACATTCATTCAACAACGCGGAAAAAAAATGGAAAAAAATTAAATTCAAAAATAACAACAACAACGAAAACTATGGGGAAAAAAATAACTGATTTTTTTTTTTTTTTTTTTTTTTTTTTTTTTTGGGGAAAAAAATCTCAGGGGCCCCGGNTTTTTTTTCTTCTCCCGAAATGAAATTATATTCCATTTTTTTTTCTTTTTTCTTTTTCTTTTTCTCGAATAAAATAATGTTCAATTTGGCCGAATTCTGTCGTGGTTGGTGTTTCATATCGTTTCACATTCATTCAACAACGCGGAAAAAAATGGAAAAAAATTAAATTCAAAAAAAACAACAACAACGAAAACTATGGGGAAAAAAAAAACTGATTTTTTTTTTTTTTTTTTTTTGGTTGTTTGGTGGAAAAAAGTCTGGGACGTCCCGGAGTCGACATCAGTCTTCGTCATGTAACCGAATTTGCCGTATTGCAAATCATTTTCATTATTAATGAGGTAAATAATAATTATTATTATGTAAATAATATTAGATATTCTCTCTTCTCTTTCTATATATATTTTTAGTTTAGTTAACACAAAAACAAAATTGTTATCATATACAGTTTGAAAAAAATGGCAGTATCAAAAATATATACCAAATACGGTAGTGTTTATGTATTACCGTATTAATAATATACCTTGTACAAAAAAAAGTGCAATTTGAACAAACAGATTTGATCCATTCAGAATATCAACAACAAAAAAAAATGATGAATATTATGTGATTACCCTATGGTGTGTGTGTGGTGAATGTAATATTTCATTTTCCAATTTTTTTTTTATTTGCGGTTAAATGAAATGAAATCCATCATATATGAAATGCCAAAAGCAAGAAAAAATGAAAATACAGATAGAGTTGTTGTATGATGTTTAGATTATAATCCATAATCGTGATCAATTTTATGATGTTTATGCGTGCGTATGTATGTATGTGTGTGGTCGTTTGTGAATAATTTTTCTCAATGTCACCCTGTTAATTTATTTGATTAGATTTTTACAACAACAACAACAACAACAACCACTGAACAGAATATAAAAAACCTAAATTCATAAGGAAATAAATTAACCAAGAGACAAAAAAAAAACAGGAAGAGATGAATAAAGAGAAATTAAATTCATGATTATATTTCCATATTTAGCCATTTAGTCATTAATGATCATTACATTTTTATTTATTTATTATTTATTTTACTATTTGTAAATCAATCAATCAATCAGGGCCAATTAATAACCGTTTGTGCCGATGATAGTATACATCTTTGGAATCTTCGTAATAAATCGCCCGAAATTGTTCATTCACTTAAATTTCAAAAAGAAAGGTTTGTTTTTCTTTTCTTTTTCAAATGATTGATTTGCCCGATAAAAATTTGGCAAAAAAAACAAAAATTCTCAATAATTATGATTGATTATCTTTTTTGTTTCTTTGTTTATAAATAGGATTTCTTATTGTTATCTACCATTTCAAAGTAAATGGATGTATATTGGTACGGAACGTGGCAATGTTTATGTGGTTAATATTGATACATTTGCAATGTCTGGTCATGTTATTAATTGGAATAAAGCGATCGAAATGTTTGTTGATTGAATTTATTTTTATTTTTATTTTTTTTTTGTTCAATGTTGATATATTTATTTGTTTGTTTGTTTGTTTGTTTTTACTTATACAACCAAAAAAAAAAAGATCTCGTAAAACACATCCCGGTTCAATCATTCATCTAAGTGATTGTCCAATTGATTCGAATAAAGTAAGCATCGATCATTTATATATGATGAATTTATTAAATGATTTTATTTTTTCTTTTTTTTTGATCATTATCATAAACAAAACAAAACAAATAAATATAGCTTCTAATCGGATATGATTCCGGTATTATTGTTTTATGGGATTTACGTAATAAAAGTGCCGATTTTCGTCATAGCTATCCGGAAGGAATATTATCTATTTCATGGCATAGTGAAGGTCGACAATTTATTTGTAGCCATGCTGATGGTAGTTTAAGTACATGGAATCTAAAAGCAGGTTCCAGACCACAATCATCAATCTATCCACTTGGTTTGTGAACAAAAAATTATTAATTTCTTTTACTCATTATTCATTGTTTTTTTTAATAATCAAAAAAAAAATCAGCCAAATCAGGTGATCCAAAATCCGAACTATATTCAAAAATACCAAAAGTTGAATGGCGAACATCACGTACTGGTGATGCTTATATTATGTTTTCGGGTGGTCTTGTTGTTGGAAATGGTGGTGAAGGTGCCAATTCAAAACGTGTATTGACTGTCATTCATGGAAAATCACCAACAATGTTAGAAATGGAACATGATATTATTGATTTTATAACCTTGTGTGAATCGCCTTATGAAGCTGATTTTAATGATCCATATGCTATAGTTGTATTACTTAGCAATGATCTAGTGGTAGTTAATCTTCAACAACCCGGGTTAGTTTTTTTGTCGCTCTCTCTCTTTTTTGAATATGTAAAATTTTTCTGTATTTGTAACCATGACAATTTCATTCGAAATTATTTTCTTTTATTTTTATTTTTTTTTTTTTTTGTATATATAAAAAAAATCGATAGTTACCCTTGTTATACAAATCCATATCCAATGGATTTACATGAATCACCGGTTACCTATTGTTATTATTTGGCAAATTGTCCACCGGATCTTATACATGCATTTTATACTGTTGGACAAAAATCAAATAAACGTAGTGGTATGTTAGAACGTGATTGGCCAATAAATGGTGGTGAATGGGGAAGTTCAACTGTAAGCTATCCAGAGATTATAATTACTGGGTAAGAATCAAAAAAAACAAACCTATCTTGTAATCTTGTATAATCCATTTGATTTGTGAAATAGAGAAAAAAAAATTTGTTTTTAAAAATCTAAATATATCATTTTCTTCTATTCTTTTCTTTTATTTTTTTTCCTCAACGACAAAGTCATGCTGATGGTTCATTGAAATTCTGGGATGCATCGGCAGTAAATTTGCAAATATTATATAAACTAAAGACAGCCAAATTATTTGAAAAGCCAAGACTCATAAATATTAGCCAAAGTTTTAATAATCAAAATAATAATAATAATAATAATAATAACAATGGTAACAACAACAATAATAATAATAATAATAGCAACAATAATAATACGACAAATAATAATGGAACGTCCGAAATGGAAGATTTATTTGCCATTGAATTTCTAACATTTTCGGCTGAAAATCGTGTACTATGTATTGCAGGAGCTTCATCACAAGTGATTGTATTTCGTTTTAGCAAACAAGAAGCTCAATCTGAAATAACAGTTAAGTTTGATTTGAATTGGTTAACATATATTTTTACAAACACATACACACACATGAAGAAAAAAAAAGATGAATGAAATATTCCACCAATACAATTGTTATTTTAATTCAATCAAGTTGATTGTTTTTTGTTGTTGTTGTTTCGAGAATGACTTGAAATTTCTTATTATTGTTGTTGTTCTCTAATTTTGTTTTTTTTTTGTTATATTTATTCTTATTTCTTTATAATCGATGAATGAATGAATGAATGAATAATTTGAATTGAATTCAATCTAGGTTATTGAAGTGCCAATGAATTATGATGAAATCGATTCACAATCGGATAGCGAAATTTTATCTGGTGCCTCGGCATTATTACATAAAGCTGATACACATGATCCATCAGCTTATTATCCATTAAAAGTTCGTACAGGTCATCATAAAAGACTTTCAGGTTTTCAGGCCGAAATTGTTTGTCTTAGTCCTTGGATTGATCGTAAAACACCTCCATATCGTATTACATCAATGAGTTATAATATGCACGCTAATCTGTATGTATTGTATAAATGAAAAAATAAGAATTTTTTTTTTCATTCAATAATCAATAAATTATCATTATAGCTTTGCATATGGTACGGAAAATAGTTTAGTCATTATTGATCTTGTACAGAAAAGTATTGTACTAAATGTTTCTACTGCATCACTTTATGGTAAATGATATTGATTTTTATTGATGTTTATAAGATTAAATTTTATTGATTGATTCATTATTATTATTAATATTGATTATAAAAAAAATAGGCACAAGTGATCCATATCAACGAACAAGACCAAAACGTTGTACATCAGCTGGACCACATTCAAAAGATTCAAATGATCATAATAATGATGTTGATCGTTGTCGTTCACCAATTACTACCGATAATGTAAGTATATTTTTTGATTATAGAATAAACAAGAAAAAAATAAATAAATAAAATCAACCTGAAATCAATTATTATTATTGATTGATTTGATAAAAAAAAATACTATTCAAATTGCTTGCACTGATCATCAATAAATAATGATTCCGTAAATAATTATTTACATTTATCATCAAAAAAATAATTGTTGACCATATGTTGTTTTTTTTTTTGCTTGCTTTGAAACGAAAATACAAATATTCAAACAACCGAACCAAAAGAAACAAAAAGAGAATTTCTCAGTCAAAACACAAAACAAAAAACAAAACACAAAGAATCTTTATCCAGCTAAACACATTACATATTATTATTATATAGCTTTATGAACAAAACAAAACGAAAAAAAAACACAATACATATTTACAATTGAAAAATAGAATCAAGTGATTAATGGAAATCATCATCATTATCATCATCATCATCACAATTGTCTATGTATAAGATTATCATCATCATCACATCACATTGTATATTAATGGCTACTTGCAAAATTGTCAAATAATAATATTATTGTATTATTATTAAATAGAACAATGAATTTCAAATAGGAAATGAGAAAAAAAAATAATACACAAATTTTCTTTTATTTACGCCGAATCATTGGCTACTATCATCATCATTATTATTGTTATTATTATTATCATCATCAGAATCATTGTTATTGATCGTATCGTAACCATTTGAACAATGGATAACATCATTTCATTTAGTTTTCTATTGATTTTTGTTTCTTGTTTTACAAAGATGATGATGATGACATTGATGCGGTTCCATTTGTGTATTTGTATGTATGTGTTTATATAGATTTTTCTTTGTCCATTTTCATTCGACCATTTTCATTACATTACATAAAGTTAGTTATGTTAAGATAACAAGATGGATGATGATGATGATGGTTAGATAAATTTAGCAATATAAAAATGTGATTTTTTTTTGTTCAATACAAAAAAAAAACAAAACAAGAATCATTCAGAATAGAATGAAAATTGGTCCTGGAGAAAGTAACAGTGAATAAATGAAAACTATTGAAATGAAAGAAACAAATTCGCTATCTTATTGGAGAATAGGAATCGAATCTCTTAAAGTTATCAACAATGTTGATGATGATAATGATGATGATGATGATGATTGTCCTTGAACAAAATATAACAAATTATTATTATTATAAAACATAATGAACAAAAGCAAAACAGCAAATAATCATTGTATCAATTTTATCATTTTTTTTCAAATATGTTTTTTACCCCATCAACTCGTTTTTGTTGTTTATTTTGCCTGTCGATTTTTTTGTTTTGTTTTGTTTTGAATGGCAATGAAATTCCAATGAACAACAATACAATAGGAATCAATGGAAACAGTGGAATCTTTACCAAAAATCATTGATTATAAAGATTATTATTGTGATGAAGAAATTGAAAAAATGATTGAAGAGCTGTCTGGTATGTCATCAACAATATCATTGACACAATCTTCTTGTTCAGATGAAGAAGAATCAAAATCATCATCATTACTTAAACAACAATCACAATCATTAGATATTGAATCATTAACATCATCATCATCGTCATCAGCATCATCAACAGCCTTATCTACAATAACGTTAGCCAATAATGATGATGATGATCATAATAAAGATGATAATAACAGAATAATCTCGAATGATGAGACATCATCATTACAACAAATAACCGAAATGAAAACAAAAAAATCTATTGATGATAATCAATCGAATGAACCGATTGAATCATTGGATGAATCGCAATCACCATCATCATCACCACCACCAAAAGCACCACCTAGACGTAAACATAATAATCAAAATATGAATAAATTTGATACGAAAAACATTTTGATTAAATCCGATTCTGATTGTTTAATTAATCAAAATGATAATGATAATAAACAAGATAATGATGATGTTGATGATGATAAATTATCGTTACATTTATCACAATCATTACCACAAACATCATCATCAATGTTAGTACATTCAATTTCATTACCTGAACCATCATCATCATCATCAAATAGTGATAATAATAATAAACAAAAAAATTATACTGGATGGGATACATTCAAAAAATATGGTAAACATAAAATTTTCGATCTTCGTAATGATAATCATCATGGTAGTAGTGGTGGCAGTTTTATCTCTCTAATCAGTGAGTTCCCAACCTTTTTTTTTTGTTTGTTACATCATCTCATTTTTTCTAAACCTTTTTAAGAATAATTTCCAACAATTTTTTCTTGCTATTCTGTAAAAAAACTATCTGATCTTTGTAAATCTCAATTCTTTTCGGTATCTTTATGAAACTATTTATTGCTTTTTAACTTTTTTTTTGTATTGATAAATGTAAAATTCACTTATCTATGTTTAAAAGTAATCAATGTGATTTTGATTTTCCCATATTCACGCAAGCAAATTTTAACCTAATTTTTGTCAAAACTTTTAAAAATTTCAAGTCTTAAATCACCAATAGATTCTTACTTTGCTTCTTTCTTTCTTTTTTCTCTTTTTTTCATCTATTTTTTTTCTGATCATTTTACTAAATCTGTTTCAAAGGATGTTTGTATGAGTCCAACAACGATAAACGTCAATCGTAATTCAGGTTTTCATCATCATAGTTCATTATCATCAACATCAACAAATTTCGAAGGTTCAACTGGTGGTGGCACAGGAGGAGGTGGTGGAAGTGGTGGATGTTCGCCATCGGCATTAGGTACGGCAACATCTACAGCACTTTCATCATCATCATCGCCATCAGCAACCTCATCATCACCTGCAGCGGCTACGTCAGCAGCCGTATCGACTGCATCATCATCGAATGTATCACGTTCCAAAGCGATTCCACAATCCGTAGTGAATACCGAGCTGAAACGTTCACGTTCTCAAGGTACTCGAAACAAGTTACAAATGATGCATACCATACATCAGAGTATGATGATTATGCCAGCATCAATTGCTACTGACCATCGTGGTGATCACCATCATCATACTGATGCGTCCGACAGGCTCATCAATTCGAATAGTATAAATCATATTGGGTATCACCATCACCATCATTTACATCATGGAGTCCAATTAGGATCAGGTGGATAGTAGTTGTTGTTGTTGTTGTTGATGATGATGTTGTTGTTGTTCTTGCTCTTGTCGTTCTTTGTTGTCGCTCATTGATTGTTTTTTATTTTTTATTTTTTATTTTATCATTTCCAACCTTATTTTTTTAAATTTTTCATTTCTAATTCTACAATCAAATCCAATAGTTTTTGAGAATCATTTTTTCCCATTAGTTATTCAATAGTACATGTAGTTATTCATTTTTTTCAAAAAAAAATTAGATTTTTTTGTTTTGTTTTCATTTCTTTTATTGTTTTTTCCAATTGTTTTGATCATTTATATCCATTCCTATTATTGATTATCGCTTATTTTATTCACTACTTAGAATAGAAAAATTCAATTGAATTCAATACCAAAAAAATCTGAATCTGAATCTTTATATTTTTATTTTTGAATTTTAGTTTCAATTATGGCAAGCATATGATGATTAGTATCACTGTAGTTAATTTATCACTTTAGGATCCAAATTCTTTTGTTTTTGTTTTCTATTCAGATTTCTATTTTGTTAGCAATCACAATTTTTAAAATAGTATTGCAAATCAAATTCATAGTTTAAATGCAAATATTTAGAAATCTAGTTTAGTTTTAAATGATTTAATAATAATTTTATTCATAAGCGGAGTTAATATTATATACAAACAACATCAACAAACAAAACAAAAAAACAGACAAACAAGTGACAAAATAAAAAATATTCCATCATTTTCATATATTATTTTTGATTAATCAAAATTTTGATCAGGTTTCATATCTGTGGATTGGATTGTTGGCCACATACAACAAAAACGACCAAGAGAGAATGATGATGATGATGATGATAATGATGATGATGATGATGATGATGATGATAAAAATCGTATTTAGTTTGTTCGGAATCATTTTGATTCAAATTCTGATGAGCCTTGTTCGTTTGTCAAACGGAGATTTGAAAAAAAAACGAACAAAATTTTCAAATATTTATCCATTGAATTGTCTTAAGCAATTTTTTCCTTACATGCATCACTTCATCATTTTCATTTTTGTTTTTCATTTTCTGATTCTGATTTGTTTGTTGTGTGTGTGTGTGTGTTTTATTTTTATTGATTTTTGATAAGATTTTTATCATTATGATCTTGGTTTTGTTGTTGTTGTTGTTGCATATTGCTATGTCTGAATTAACCAATAACCAAAATGAAAAATCCTTTTTTTTGCCAGGATTTTTTTTGTTGTTACATTTTGTATAATTGCTGTGTGCATTTGTTTTCTATACTAATAATGATGATGTTTATAAGAAATTGAGTTGAATGGACCATATGTGCTTATTGAAGCTTATTTTTTCTTAAATAATATTTACCGGGCTGTGATTGTTTCGTTTGTAAAACTTTCCTACCAAAAAAAAAAAAAAATGGGCAGGGTTTTTTTGCATCTTTTTTTCTCCTGTTTTTTTTTTGGCCCATCAAATGCATG